GGCTAGCTTACAGTTTCAGAGGTTCAGTCCATTATCATTATGGTGAGAAGCATGGCAGCATGCAGGCAGAGAAGGAGCTCAGAGTTCTACATATTGATCTGCAGGTATCAAGAGACTGTGAACCACACTGGGTGCAGCATGAGACCTCAAAGCCCACCCCCACAGTGACACACTTCTTCCAACAAGGCCACAACTACTCCAACAGTTCACACCTAATAGTACCACTTCCTATGGACCAATCATTCAAACATATGAGTCTATGGGGGTCAAACTACCACAAGGAGCAAAGAAGCACCAAATGTAATGCTGAGCAAAGTCCAGTTCTCAAGAAGATAAAAAGTTTCAGCAAATGCCTGATGCTAAATGGGAAAAGGTAGTAGTGACCTCAAGACTTGCACCAAGCTAAGCTTCCAACTTGTGAAAAAGGAATTTAAGAAAAGCTTAAGCAGCAAAGGAAACCATCAACAATGGAAAGCATATGCAAGTGCAAGTCAAAGAGGGACCCAGGATGTAGCCTCAGCAATCAGAAGAACTTGTCAGCTTCAGCAATGTGGTTCTGGCTTTAGAATCAATAAGGACACAGGAAAGGGGTTGTAGAATCTTCCTCCATAATAAAGAAAAGCTGCTGAAGCCAGGTGTGTGCAGAGGAGTCCTTGCATGGAAGCACAGCAAGGCCATGGCAGGAAGCTGTGAAGGTGAAGCCTGGATTGCCTTGGGGACTCTAAGATGTTAGTGATAGCAGAGTTGTGGGATACTTGCCAAGGAGAGCTGCTAACAGGGTATGGAACCAGGCCAAGAGAGAGAAGTATGCTGTAGTCAACACAGCTAGAGGCCGGAGTTCTGAAGAGCACTTTGACAGCAGATATGGAGATGCAGAATTCAGAGTTTGCCCTACTGGTTTTCTGTCTTGTTCTTGTCTAGAACTTCCTCATGCTCCCTTTCCTCCCAGGGCAGAACTGCAATGTACAGTCTGTGCCACTATATGTTAGAAGTGTGTGATCTGCATTTTGATTTCAATTTTACAGGCGGTTACAGTTTAGAGATTTCCATGAATCTCAGACTTTGGACTTAAAAGTCCAAAGAGACTTTTAAACATTATTGAGACTGAGAGACTATAGGGAATTTTGAAGTTGGGCTACGTAAGTGCGTTATGATATGGTCACACACCCATGCGGCTAGGGAGTGGAATGTGGTGGCTAGGAGTGGGTGGATCTGGGAGGAGGAAGAGGATTATCAAAGTACACTGTAATAAATAAATTTTAATTAAAAAATGCCCAATTTAAGAAATCAAAACCTAAATACATCACTTCATATTATTGGGAGTCAAGGGGGCTGCAGCACTATGATAAAGATCACACAGAATCCACACAGCTGGGAAGCTTGCCAGCTGCCATAAACATTCTGAGAAGTAATTGACAAACTCTAGTAAATCTAAAGTAAGCACACCACATGAAATAAGTACTGCTCCAAAAGAAGCAGTTCTCAAAGTGAGGTTCCTCAGCTGCTACCTTGAGCTAGAGTGTCCATGGGAATTGGCTCATAATGCAACCTCGTGGTTTCTTCACCTACACCTTCGAGATCAGAATCTGGGACCCAGTTCTTTATGATGAGGCCTGCTCCTTTTGGACAGCATAACTACAGCCATTTTTTATTTCAGGCCTAACAGCCACATCATCTCAGCTTGTTGCTAATATAGGGAAAAGCTCTCTGTGTAAAGTTGACTAAAAACTATGTTTATGTTCAGCATACTCAGAAATTTCCCAACCATCAACACAGCTAGCCCCAACTGCCACACACACTTCAAGGTTAGCCTTGAATCAGACATGAGTACCCTGTTCCACTCTCCCCACCATACCCCATGTGGTTTTTGCCTTTACAAGCTAACTTTGAAAGACAATCAATGTCACAGTTTGGCTCACGAGTTCCTTTCTGTGTCCCTGTCTTGGGGTGTTGTATTCATTAAACCATCCACATCTAACTAACATTGGTGTCTGAGCAGTTTATGCAGCTTTCTCTGGACCCCAACATTTACTCTCAAAAATGTACACAGAGATACATGAGGATGTCTATGGAGGCTAATCTCAATGGTCAGTTAAACTGGATTCATGAATACATCTCTGGCCTTCTCTCTAAGGGTGTGTGTAGAGAAGTTTAACTGAGGTGGCAAGACCACCCTACAGTGGGTAGCCCCATCTCCTGCACTGGGGGCTTACATTGAATGAAAAGCAGAGAAAGGAAAGCAAGACAAAAACCAGCTTCTTGATCTGCCTAAACGTAAGCAAGCCCAGGCCTACTCCCATTTCCACCCCCCCTAAGCTCCTGCTACAACGCCTCCTCTTCCCTCCAGGGGATGTCTTCAAGAGGATGTCCTTCTGAATTATAAGCTGGTGTCCATCCTTCCTTCCTCTGTTTCTGCCCCTGTGAAGAGGACACTAACTAATGCAATCTCCATGTCAGCACTCTTTCTAATAACTTGGGAACAAGTATTCCTATTCATACTAAATGAATTGGTTATATGTGTTCAATGTAGATAAATTTAAGTATGTAAGTTGAGTTTGAACTGAGTAAATTATACTGATGATGCAAAGGGACCCTCTAAGCAAACTATAAGGCAACACCTTACTTCCACATAAAGCATGTTTTATTGCTTTTTTAAAGATGTATGTATGTATGTATGTATGTATGTATGTATGTATGTATGTATGTAT